TAGTCTTTTACTTGTTAAAAGCTTTATTTTCAGTCTGATCTGGCCTGTTTAGGTGGCCTCACCAACCTTGACAAACAGCTCTTCCGACACCCACACAGACATTTATTCCAAAGTTTCGCGGAGCCTTCACCTAGAATATCAGACAATTCTTATATAAAATTATAAAATTTATGAGATTTTTTAAACATGTAAAATATTGTTGTGAAATATTTTGAATGAGAAATAAATTATAAACAAAAAATATAGAAAAAAACAATAATAATCATCACTAGGAAGTAGTCTGAATACCTCTTGAAGATTCTCAAGATGATGAAGCCAACTATTAACTTCATCTGTTCTTACGATCTCTGTGGCCCTAGCTTCATCCACCCTCCTTTGAAGGTCTGTGCTCAAACGTTGAAGATCCTCACATTTCCTTTTCAACCGTTGCAAGTTCTCTTCCATTTTGTAAGTTGGGGTGGCATTGATGATCTTCGACACTTGATGTTCTTTCTCTTTACAAGTTAAGAAAATATTTTTATAAAAATCTAATAAAATTTTTGAGTTATCTCTTAAAAAAATTATATTTTATTTTAAATTATATTTTAATTTGAATGATATTGAACAAAATTTTTATTGATTAATTTTATATATTTTATATTAACAAAATTACTAAAAATTAAAATTAATTATAATATTTTTTATAACTTGTGAATAGAAATTATACTACTTTTTATATAATTTATTTTAAAAAATAATCATAATTTTTATTTTATATTTTTAATCTTTCTGTCACATTAAAAATAATTATTTTTATATTTAAATCATAATTCTTTTAAAATTAAATTAAATAATAAAAAATATAAAATATTTGTGCAATTCTGTGCAAAGTACTTGGGATGGAAATAGGTCAGGCCAAGCTAAGTCAGGCTTGTAACATAATTATTAGGCTTGAGTTTGGCCTTTTACTTGTTAAAGGCTTTATTTTCAGTCTGGTCTCGCCTATTTAGGTGACGTCACCTACCTTGAAAAACAGCTTTTTCAACACCCACACAGACATTTATTCCAAAGTTCTCTTCCATTTTGTAAGTTGAGGCGACATTGATGATCTTCAACACTTGATCCTCTTTCTGTTTACAAGTTAAGAAAATATTTTTATAAAAATTTAATAAAATTATCGAGTTATCTTTCATAAAAAAATTTATTTTATTTTAAATTATATTTAAATTTAAATAATATTAATTCAAAACTTTTATTACTTAATTTCATATATTTTATATTAACAAATTTATTATAAGTTACTAAAAATTAAAATTAATTATAATATTTTTTATAACTTGTAAATAGAAATTATACTACTTTTTATATAATTTATTTTAAAAAATAATCATAATTTTTATTTTATATTTTGAATCTTTCTGTCACACTAAAAATAATTATTTTTATATTTAAATTATATTTATTTTAAAATTAAATTAAATAATAAAATATATAAAATATTTGTGCAAATCTGTGCAAAGTACAGACATATTTATTAGTTTTTATAGTATTTTTTATTATTAAACATTTATATTAGTTGGTTGAATAATTTAAGAGTAAATAAAAATTTATCTAAATTATTAAGTTTAACAATTAATTTTAACGAGATGATTATATTTCTTTTCTATAAATTGTTTCTAAATGGACAAATAAAACATAAAAAAATAGTTTTTCAATAAGACAAGTAAATTCCTGCTTTAAAGTTTTAGAAAGTATTACTATTTATTAATAATATTGAAAAGTAATTATTATTTATTAAATAATATTAATTTATAAAAACACCTAATATATTAATTATGACTTCTTCTTTTTTTCATAAAAAATAAATTCAAATATCACTTTCATTGAAGTTATTTTTTTCATTATTTTAATTATTAAAAAAGTTTAAATGATTTGAGTTTTAAAACTCATTAAAGACATAGCATGTATCAATGATACATGTATGAGTTATTTTTGTTTTCTCTTTCTTTCACTGGGACTATCTCATTGTATAAGTCGTACTTTTAATTATATTGGCGCTGTTATTTTTTAAGAATATGAAATTGTGTTTTTAAGGTTACAAAAAATTGATTGGGTCCTTAAAAACTAACACAGCAACAATATAACTAAAAGTACAATGGGTAGGTTGTCAAGATGAGTCCTTACTAACTAACGCGTGCCATTAATAACTAATATGTGCCAAGGTTGTAGAGTGGTGAGATAGTATTGATGCATAGTATCTCTTTAATGAGCCTTAAAACTCAAACCATTTAAATGTTTTTATATCTAAAATAATAAAAAAAAATGACTAACCAAAAATGTGTCTAATGTTATTAGCTGCTGACATTTATTTAGGTAGAAATCTACAAAAGTTTTGAGTTTGTTGACATTCGATTTTATATGGAAGGGAGATGACATGATCAGTAGACAAAGAAAAGAGAACGAAATAACGTCACGTGATAGAGTTACATATCAGGCAACTTTTCTTGCATATTCCATACTTAATTTTAATTTATTTGAATAATGATTTCTTTATTTTAAAATAAACGTTTTTATTACATTTTAAAAATATATGTTTAAAAATATATCAATTTAAAAATATATGTTTTTATTACATTTTAATTTGAATTTAATTTTTATATATTTAATTTAAAGACACTATAATAATAAAGAGATAAAAAAAATTTACTTCTTATAAAAAAATATTTTTGAATCATAAGAACAATTTTGGCTTCACTTAATTAGTATGCAGTAAGACACAGATCACAAATAAAAATGAAGGAACATTTTATAAAATTTGAAAAGATTTGATATGATCGTGTCAATAATATATTAAATATGAAACAAAACTAAAAAGTTAAATTATAAACACACTAATGAAACAATTTAAAAAAAATAATTACTATGATATTCTTACAATGTAGATTTCTTATTTTATAACAAAAAAATAAATCATGAAATTAAATAAAGCAATCTTACTTATTACAAGCTCTTGAAAGTAAAATAGGATTAAAATTTATTAAAAACTACAAATTTCACATTTTTCACCTCTCACTTACATAGTATCTTCCTAGATTTGTTGTTCTTACTCTTTCTGTTATTGTATAATTAAAACGAGGTCGCTCCCTGCGCTGTTAACATCAAAATACAACAATGAGCATTAAAAACATAATAACAATAAAGGGAAAAAAAAATCAGAAACTCACACGTATGAGGAAATCTTCTTGGTTTCTAGCCACAACCAAAGGTCTATCATAGTTCATCGTCACATGAGGTTGGCGGAATCAAGGAAGGTGTTTGGGTTAATAACCATGAAGCAAACTCCATTAGAATATAGCTTAATGGACGTACAAGGATTATGAGAATGACCACAGTACTTGTTAGAAAGGATGAACTTTGTTTGATAACTGGACGAGACGTTCCATCAGGATCATTGGTGTAGTTTACAATCAAAGTACGACGAGGGAACAACCTACACATGAACTCTACTAACACATCGCTATAGTCTGCAATCACAGCACAACGAGAGAAGAAAATCCCCACGTTTAAGCTATCAGGTGTATAGACATAAAGAATGACCGAATTGATATTCAAACTTAGAGGTTGTCCCTCTTCTATAGCAAGTGTTATCCTTCTATAAAGAGAAAGTAAATCATATTATTTTAAAATAAAATAACAAAATATATATTTTTTTAGTGTGCTTAATATAATAATATAAGATATATGATGATAACACAATATCTTTATACAAAAATATATTTTGGACGTAGCTAAAGTTTTGCAAAGATTCCATACAATAATAGAAGATATGGGAAGAATTTGTGACTAAGAGATTAAAGGAGGACACTATCCATGTGTCCAAGGTGTTTTATTTGTTGGCTCCCAAAAAAATTACTAATGGAGAGTAAAGTGACAAATAATTTCGGTAGAGAAAACTACAACGTGGAATCGCAGTTTGCAATCTACCCATGAACTCTACTAACCCATCGCTGTAGTTTGCAATCACAGTACGACTTGCAAATGTAAAACACTGATGGGGTTGAGTTTGAGCTATTAAGTTAAATTTCCATTAATGAGAAAATTGGATTTGCCTCTGCTAAATTCAGACTTTTATTCAAAATTATCTTAGTATCTTATATTTTTTTTTTGCATCTTGATCACGAAATATCTATAATGTTAACACTTCTTACTAATACCTTTCAAATATTTGTTAACAAAATTATTAAAATAGTATTCTAAATACATCTTCCATTCACAAATAAAATTAAATAAAAAAGATACTAAGATAATTTAAAAATAAGTAAAAGTAAAAACTATATACTAACGATTTTCACACTCCTTTAATTAGAAAAATAGATAATTTACTGTTTAGTTTGTGTGATGAATAAATTATGCAAAGTAAAAAATATAAATTTAATTTTAATACAATATGAATATAAAAAAATAATATTATTAATTGATTAAAATATATGTAAATATATTTTTATACTAGTTTTAAACCAAATTCAAAATTTAAAACTAATTTAAAAAAATTAATTTAAAATTAAATTCATTTAATTAAATTTAAAATAGATATGAATTAGTCCTTATCCAATCTATGCTCACCCTACTTCTGATGCATCTCATGTGAGAAATTATGCTAGAGCTGCGAGCTTGGATCTTTACTTTTGGGCTCCATTATTTGGGTCATGAAACTGATATGTTTGGTCTGCGGATACATGGATACAAGTTTTATATTGTGTTTTTCTTTCTTTATTTGTTCTATTCAGAATTTCAATTCTAGACTTGTTTTATTTTTTCACATTCATGATGTTTCATTAATGCCTGTTTTCTTTAAATAGAAATTCCCAATACGTGACTTAAATTATCCAGAACTCCTTTAACAAAAATCGACATTATTACTCGGTAAAGCGCAACTCTACAGAACCATCGAATTATTTGGTACAACAAACTTCCAATTCGAGAAAATTTTAAGGTATCATGGAACAAGGAGATGCATGATGGATCAAATTTAAATTCATATACTAATAAAATTTTCTGAACAATTTATTCAAGTATATCAGAATAAATATTACACTTTTAACACGCCAAAACTTGGAACAGCCCGCTCCCGGGCATAGACATGCACAATGGTGACAATTATATAGATTATAATTTGTAATGTGCACATAAGAAAATGGACATGAAGGTGAGCACCAAAGGAGCAAAACGGTAAAGAAAAAAATTCTCTACATTATTTACACTGAAAAGAAAAATCCATGAAATCGTTCTATGTTGCTATATATGCTACAGCTCTCTAAATCCTATACTAACGTGAGATTAAATTAAAGTTTTCAGGTCAAGGAATGAAATATTCATTCTAATCATATATGCATTTCGTATAATCTTCATGTCAAGCGTCAATAGCGACCTTGTTACAGCAATGAATCCATTGTTAGAAAATGTCCTGTTTCCATTTCTCCCGTGATCACCAGAAGACACCTACGTCGACATGTACACCTGCCCTAAGGCAAAAAATCACCAATCCAATAATCATGCTCCTATCTGGGAATATGTATGACTAATCACATCATGAACAAGTATTTTAAATCATCCACTGTGAGGCGACTCTGACGCCCACCAGTTCCATCCTCCCCAAATGCAGACTCAACCATCATTCGCTTTTTTTGCTGGAAAAAACATGTAAGAGATATTCTTGCGTAAGCAACAACTACATTTAACAAATTCTTGTTAACACAATATGCTAAATTGCAATGAAATTTTTAGTAGAAACAGCGCCCCAGTGAACAAGCTATTTTTCAAGGCTAGTAAATGAACACTTGAACAGAATCAGATAACATGTCACATGACTCAAAAGATACCCCAGATACAGTGGCTCCATCTAAGAATTGTTTTCGTGCATAAAATAACACATTATTCAGCTCACACAAATCATAACATAGAAGTAACATATTTCATGCACTTCAACCCAAAAAAAATTCCATGCGTGAACTGATTGTGATTCAAGCATTTCATAGAGATACCGATGCCCTTGACCGTTTAGAAGATTTGTGATCTCCTTATAGCACCATTTATCCAACCACAGACACATTTATAAATTTCAGGTACCAGACTGGCTTTAAATATCATTATGTCACTTAGGTGCTAACTAGAACGATATAAAATACATATCCTATAACAATGTAAAATAACTAAAAGATATTTTATATGGCTATAAATTTACCTGCAGAGCTAGAATACGATCCTCAACAGTATCTCTCACAGTTAACCGCAAAACAGTCACAGGGCGAGTCTGCCCAATTCGATGTGCTCTATCTATTGCTTGGTCTTCAGTTGTAGGATTCCACCATAAGTCTAGCATAAGAACATGGCAAGCTACCACCAAGTTTAGACCAAGACTGGCAGCCTTCAAAGACATAATCATAACAGATACCTACAAGACAACATGTATCATTATATATATCTCGCTGATAATTTTATGGCAAGGAAACTAAAAATTCAACCATGATTTTAAGGGATCTGCTACTTTACAAACCTCAGGAAGAGTGTTAAAATCTTTAACAGCTTTATCTCTAGCAACAACTGACATTGTTCCATCAAGCCTTCTATACTGAATTGAAGAATTCTTAAGACATACTTCAAGCAAATCTAGCATCCTCGTCCACTGAGAAAACACTATTGCTTTCTCCCCTACAACAGAAACTGACTTATTAGAGCCTCCATTCCCAGACAAATTTTGACTCTCATCAGGAGAATCTTTGAAGAATTTCCCATTGTTAGCATCAGATGGATTCCCAGGGCAGTCATTATTTTCCCTGAAAGTGCTATGCACAGAAATACTTTTCAATGTATAGCAATGTGGCTTACACAATGACTTCAAAACCTCAAGTGAAGCCTTTATTTTTGAAGAATCATATGGCTGACTCTGAGACCAAGGCTCAAATTCCTCCACTTCAGAATCAGAGCAACCAGATGAATTATTACAGCCCTGGTCAGAAAGACAACTGTTCAGTGTGGCTTTTGAAAACACTGAGGATTTGCACAGTCGACTTCTGCAATTTGTAGCAGGGCACTGATTGTCATCGTCATCACCAGTAAGATGTTCACAAATGCACTGATTACAGAAAACATGACCACAAACTGAAACAACAGCATCTTCAGGAGGATCCTGTCCACAAAACAAGTGATAGGAAAGGTTGAGCAGAGGAGTTAGGCAGGAAAAATATACTTTTCCAATAAATAAGGTCAATGCATATAATACAGCAATCATACAAGTCCTTCACCCATACGAATAATCCCTTCCCATTTTCTGGAAGGAAAAGGAGTAAACAAAACCCTTTCCATCTACATCCATTTTTACTCTACTCTTTCAACTACTCCAACCCTTCCAAGCACAACATATAACACTTAGAAGTAACATAATAATATGCAATTACAACTAACCAATTTAAGTGCAAGCACACAAATAACAATGCACACAAACATGCAGTCAAAAAAATCCATATTTGTAAATATGAAAGAATGGTCAATACATACATTACAAATGCCACAGAGAGCCAAGGAAGCCTCTAAACATTTCAGAAGAGAGATTTGCTTTTCCTGAGGAAGCTTCTTTGCCATTTCCACTGAAGATTTCCATAGAGAATTAGAATTGTAACGCTTGACAAGCAGAGGGTGATCGCAAGCTTGTCTAAGGCGCAGAAGCATCAGCAAAATGTTGACATAATTTTGTTTGACAGTTCCAGCATCTGCATATTCCTGACATGACATCACATCATGCATGTCATTAGTGCACTTAAAATATGGCTTACCATGAAAATATACTTCTATAAGCAATACTATTATGAAATGCTCAAACTTGATTTGGGTTGGAAAAATCAGGCCATACCTGAAATTGTGCACGCGAATCAGCCTCTAGTCTGGAATAGAAATCACGTTCCTCCCTTGAAAAATCAACTTTCTTCAGCTCTATAAATTTTGGCGGCAAGGAAATAATAGGTTCCCCATCAAGCAGTGAGCCTACAGAAAAATGATCACCATCACATGGTTACTGAAAATTTTCAAATTAATACACCTGGTGATTGCTTAGTTAAATGAGCTGCATGCAATGCACTAGATAAGAATACAATAAAAGTAAACTGTAAAATTTTTAAAAAAATCTATTATTCAATTCTATGTCTAAAGCTCTATGAAAAGTAATAAAGCGTAGAATACCAAATTAAGGTGATAAACATATTACTGACCAAAAAAAGAAGGGTGATAAACATATTGGAAGTCGATAGTGTTATGCTCTAGGATAAGGGGGACAAAATAAGGAAAACAAAAATAATTACACCTTATTGATTTGATTATGGGAAATCCATGAATTCAAATGAATCAAGTCTAACCTTTGGTCCGGCGTAACATTATTGTCTTCAAGACAGCTTGTAGCTTTTTATATCCTTTTGATGGATTTCTGCTAATTGGGATCTTAATTGTAGAACAGAATGATGTATAGACAGCATAAGGGTCATATCTTAGGAATCTGAAGTAACTGTAAAGATCATCAATTGCATTCTGGATGGGAGTCCCTGACAAACACCATCTTCGCTTAGCACGAAGACCCCAACAAGCCCTTGCAACTTGAGTCTTGTGATTCTTTATACTCTGGGCCTCATCCAGGACAACCCTAAACCATGCCACTTTTGCAAGAGGCCGAGTAACAGCCTCAACAATTGTTCCATCCAACTTCTTCTTGCTAATTTTACTAGAATTAGAAGGGTTTTTTCTTTTCCTACTTGTTCCAGCATGATCTTCATAATTCCCCCTTTCATCATCATCTTTGTCAACTAGAGGCTGCTTAGGGACCTCCATGCTGACAATAGAATAAGTTGTTAGAACAACATCATACTTAGCCACCTTGTATGGATCTTTTGTTCGATTGCTTCCATGGTACACTAGCACAGAGAGGTTTGCCTGGCTAGTTACCTTATTATTCAACTCCTCAGCCCATTGGCGCAGGACACTAGTGGGACAAACAATAAGGGTTCCAGCAGATGGCCTTCCCTTTGCTTGCATCAACAAATCCGTGCTTTTGATTGCATTCATACTTGACTTATCCTGACACACATTAGATCCGTCCATTACTTTACCAATCTGAGGAATCTCATCATCATCCACATCCAGATTCAGAGTTTCCAATTCACCTTTGGGGGCATTGATGCACTCCTTGAATATTGAAGGTCTTTCCTTCAATATTAATGCAATAGTTGATACTGTTTTTCCAAGCCCCTACAATAGAAAAGGCTTTAACTCACTGAGACAGGAGAAAATCACATCTTATAAATCAGTTATCATCTCATATTAGCACTGCAGGCAGCTAACCTGATCATCTGCAAGAATTCCTCCCGAGCAATAGAGACTTGATGTTTCCTTTTGAACCATCCATGCTAAAGCAATTCTCTGATCAGGACAACTACAATTAGTTGGAATGTTGGATGTCCCAAATATATAAGGAAAACAAGTTATAACAACAACAACATCTCAAGAAAAATGGGGTTGAATTTGGAAAAGGACTGATCAGGAAACAGAATTTAGGACAATGGCACCTTTGAAATTTTAAATCTTTGAAGACAAGGAGGGTGTGCTCAGGCTCACAGAAATCAGAATTAATACATATAAATCATAAATAGTGATGCGATGAATTCATTCATTAAATAAATCATAAGTTTTTTCCTTATTCTCTTGTTCAATGCCCACTGAACTCCAGATGCAAACATTAAGAGCCTGATCCAACTTTGTTTCAGCTTGAAAGCTGCTGTGCAAGAGATATAAACTGAAGTCTTTTTAAAGGAGATACAAGATCTAAGAAATTAAAAGATTGGACAACAAATGTAACCTGATGTCTTAAAAGAGGAACTGCCAAAAATCCATTTGGAGGGCTAACTTCTGACTTTGGCTGAGATAGATCCTACATTCAACCACAGAAGAGTTATGTGCAAAGGGAGAAGAATATTCCAACTTCTCCTAACAGCTACTAAAGATGAAAACCATAAAATAAAGGTGTCAACCTGCAATGCAACTCGTAATATATTACGCTCATCACATGCTTTCAGTCTTGTGCTTTCAACCATGTAAGGTTGGGAATCAACATATCTGTAAGATCGAGATATATTAAGTGAATTCCCAATGTCTGCAGATTGACTCGACAGCACAGGATGACTGATGTCTTCAATAACGCAAACATCAGGGTATTTCTGAACATGGAAGTTCTCAGTTCTTCCTTTTGAAAGTTGAGAATCAATAAGTTTATGTTGAATCATTTTTCCTCCTCCCCTCTCAACACAACCAAACTGTTTCTCACTGGCAATTAGTGCTTGGTTATGGGGCCAAGGTCTATCTGCATCTTTTAAATTTGAATTGCCCATGTTTCCTTGAAAACTAGCAGTCCCATCAATGATATATTGATAATTATCGGATGTGTCAGATGTTCTCAGTGCACAACTATCCTCATTCTTGAAATATTCATAAGTCTGACACCCTCTAGGAGAAAAAAGATCAGGTGTTTGTTTCACCTCTTGGGCTACATTGAACTCAGCATCATTGCTGTGAAAATTGTTTGGGTAAAGGTCTCCATATGACATGTGTGAAGCACAAGCTGAAAGCGGCAATGATGACATGTCATCAAAAATAACTTTACCAGAAAAAGATGATGGATAACCACTATTAGCTAACATAATTTGACTATCTTGAAAAGATATCCCCCCAGAAGAGCTTGATGGCATGCCATTACTCATACATGCAATATCAGCATTTAACTCCACATTTACAGCCTTCATGTTATTCATCATTGCTACATTTGTCCACAATTGAGAACAAATACCATTAGGCAAAAGACCAAGAGAAGAATCAGTAGCAATGGGTCTATCATTTGTTCCCGGATAACAATTTGCAGATAGATGGTAGTCAATAAAATCCCTGGAAAAATGGGAACCTTGACCAATAGTAGAATCAGTTGAAGTTGCAACACGCAAAGATCTATCAGCATCCATGAATGATGCTTCAAAAGATGTACACGAGTCATTTTCCTGTTGCCCAGAAACTCCTCCAATGATGTCTTCAGCATAACCTTCAATATTTACATCATTCTCAACAATAGAACTGAGTGAAGCCGAAGCATCTGCAAGCAGAAAATAAAATCAGATTATTACCTAAGCTTCAGATATACAATGTCTAAAGTACAATTTTGAGAGCATCACACAAATGTCAATGTCCTAGTCTAATGATAATCCAGTGGAAATTTCACATACATTCAGAGTCAACATCCTCTCCCACATGCTTGGATTGACTGTCATTTTCACCCTTTGACATACTCATATTCAAGCTATCTTCACAAATAGATCCATTGTTTGAGTATGCCTCAGGGAAACTTGTTTCCACGCTATAAGCAAGCATCTCAAGTTTAGAAACTCCTGTTCTGTCTGCATAGCAAATCTCATCACTTTCACCCGGAGAGAATGACTCACTAAAATTACCAGGAAGAGCATTTGGGGAAGAGCAAGCCTGAGAATGAGGTCCCTGGTTTTCAGGTTCACAGTCAAGCATAGAATTTGCTACATAATCAGAAAAAACAACTGAACCTCTGGCCCCAGAATCTGACACATCTGAGCAGAATGTAGAACAGCTCGTGACTGAATCCACAAAGTCCAATCTTGAAAAATGAGGTTCTTCCAATACTTGAGCCCCTAACGATAGGAAAAGAATCAATATAATATACGGTACTAATATTAGTAATGATCTATCAAATCAAGGGTTTAGAATTAACTGGAAGATGACCATTTCTCACTATTGACAGACAAATTGCAACCAAAAAGTATAAGAAGTAATATTACAGGGAAAAATCACAAGTTTACGTACCATTTTGCATCTGAAAAGTATCATGGATGTCAAATTCACTAGGTGAAACATTTTTTGATGAAGAATCCTCAGGACTATTCTGCTTTGACATCAAAACAATATGTATAAGGATAATATCAAGCATAAAAAGTCAGGGAAATTATAAAAAAGAGTAGTGCTAAGAAAGAAATAATACTGAATGCAAAAGAGAGAAAAAAGAAGGATTGGATTTAAAATTTGACAATTCTTTCAATTTTTGTTTTCAAATAAAAAATATTTATAAAGATAAAAAAGATCCATTTACTTTCGTATGAAAATAGCATAAAGCACAGATGATTCGGCTTCCTATACACCAAGCAGAACTTCAAGCCCCCATCTGTACTAAACATACTCCCACCCAATCACCCATCAATATAAAAACAAAATAAAAGTAAGTTGAAATGTTGGATTACACAGCATAACAATAATAAAACCAAACATCCTTCATCATTTTAGTAAACAATTTAAAAATTGGAAGGTGTAGAAAAACTACGTTTTCTCCTTAATAGCACCGCAATGAAGAATCTAAAATGTTGAATCTAACACACAGTAACTTATACATGACCCCAAGTCTAAGATATCATGACTTATTTTCACTTTTAAATATCAAAAATTGTTTACGGACTCGGGATCTTCACATTTTTAGTGGAACCAAGTGACACTATATTAAGTATTAACACGTCACTGGCATTTCCCATTGTCCAGTGAGTATAACTTGGAGAAGAAAAGTAATTATATTAACTGAATTTCAAAAACTAAATGAATAAATTGTGCTAACATTTTTACTAAAAAATCACTTCAAAGCTTTCTAACATTAAACAGTCTTCTTTGCACGAATTAACCTTACTACTTTGTTTTACAAAAAGTTTAGGAAAAAGGGAGAATCTCTCATCGTAAGATCAGGCAAGCCCCATGCTTTATTGGGTTACCAATCAGCAAGAATCAAACCAAACACCTTCGTGCTGAAATGTTGGATCCAATCACGTGTGGTCAAGCTATTAATTTTCTTTGTTAAAAACCTTCTGATGAATTTCTTACTTTGCATGAACTAGAGAATAATTACAGATGCACGCCAATTGATCAACAGTTTCTCTCTGTCTCATTAGTTATCTAAGGAAAATCAATTATTAAAGGAAAAATGATAATAAAACAACTGGCTTTCAGGTTCTGTGCAGAACTGCAGATTACAGCTTCAAGTCTAAATAAATAAATGTTTTTAGTAAAAGAGGGAAAAAGTAAAGAAAGCTAATGTTGTGACTGCACGAACATATACAAAGATCACGGAGTTTCAATTCTTCCATTTAAGCAAAGAAGAAGTAAAAAGCATTAATCACAGGGCAACTTCAGTTGACACGGTTCGATTCCACTACGATGCAAACGAACCGATTCGGATTTCGCAGTCACAGCATTCGGAATTTCATTTCCGCTTTGGCAAGAAGAAACCCTACCTCCCGAAGGTCACACTTGTCTTCGTCAAGCACCTTCATAACGGTCTGAATATCGATATAAAGCATGTCATCACCATCGTCATCACCAGCAGAAAACAGTTCCGAGAAGTCCACGTCATCAACCGCCATCACCGCCACAACAACAAATCCAATCGCATGGATCAATAAACCTAAACGCGCTTTCTCAAGCTTTGACAAACACCACACTTCCACATAAGCAAAAGTTCATCCTCCGATTCCAAAATCAGTTCCTCGAATCGCATCGCAGAGAATTGAGTGCGTGTGCGTGTGAAATCAATCGAGATTGAGGAATCGGCGAAGGCTTCTTCAACGGTTCGACTTTTCGTTAGGTGCCAAGAGTCAGAAAAGGTCGAAGTGAATCGAAGAAGAGAGAGAGAGAGAGAGAAAGTGGTGGATGGTGAAGAACGCGGTGTGCGCAAGTTTAAATACGGTTTGGATTCGTTATGGAAGGGTGCGCAGGTTAAGAGTTTGTGCGCTAAGCCTACATTATTGGCCTGTTTCTCTACTTGTACAATGTTTTTCACACTGCTAGATCACTATTGTTGACTAGGAATAGCGGCAAGATTCTCCCACGCGATGCCTACGCGCGTTCTCCTTTTCAAAATCATTGTCCATTTATTAAGATATTTTCAATGTTCTGTTTCTTAATTAAATATAATAAACGTGTACGTATTTAATATTATTTTTAATAAAAATATTTTATTAATTTATTTATTTATTTATTTATTTACTTGGCGTTATTGAGATAACGGAAACTTCGTGAAATGATGTGATGAGAGAAAGAGAGTTTGAATTGATCACGGGGCGTGTGTGGTTGTTTACGTGCACTAGTTACCAATGAAAAAGGAAAATAAAGGAAAAGCTGTGTTTGGGGTGGATTGCTTAATTCGGATTTTGAACAAGTTGGTGGAGATGGTCCCTACCACTTTTTATTTTATATTCGTATAAATGGGAACTTTCTTAGGATTTTTGTTGGCCTTGCGTGGCTGCTTCGTCGAATATGCACCTTTTCTCCCTCTAACCTTGCCTTATGTGCATGCCAAAGGGACGTTATAAAACAAATCACTGTTTCAAATAGCATGCTTTTTCCACCAAGAAAAAATATGTGCCAATTGGATAAAATGATTTAATTACAATGAATTATCGTCCTTATTGATTTAATGACTATTTGATTTTAAAAATATTTTTCACCAATTAATATAAACAAGTTATGAAAATTTTTAAGTACACTGAAATGCCTATTTAAATTTTACATCTAATATAAATACCGTTTTAATGTTTAATGAACAATGACTCTCAAATGTCTATTAAAAAATAAATATAAAAATTGAAAAAAAATTGTATTAATTTTCATAGTTCATTCAATGAAAGCTTTTTTATGCCTATTTCAAACGATAAAAAAAAAAATTAAATGTAACCATAAATAGTAATTAAGTGTATCGCTCTTTCTAATTGAGTAGCGTTTAACTTAGACTTTTATTTCTCTTTAACCTTACAAGTGAGAAAGATTATTTTTCTTTTGTAACTTTTCCTTCATTTAAAAATCTAATTTTTTTATGTTGTGAGTATTTTGAAAATTCTATTTGGTCTAATTTTTCTTTAAGAAAATAATTTTTCAAAAAAACTTTCAAAAAAATAATTTTATCCTTTTTAATTTTTTTTTATGAAATCATTATTTTAAGTGTCCGTTTTAAATAAGGGTTCAAGGTGAATAAATTGAATGTTAGTGTAATGATAAATGCAACTGATTGTTTATGATTAAAAAAAATATTTATATATTAATATGAAGTAAATAAACAAATAAAAAATCAATCATGAATCTAATTATGAAAAGAAAAGTTCTATCTTATAAAATGTGTTATAGATTTGGGTTTTTAGCCCTGTTAAACAGTAAAAAAATAATGTGTTATAAGTTCAAAAAGTGAATATCTTTAATCCTTATTTGATTTGAATTCAATTAAAACACTAAACTAGTTCACAACTGAAAAGGCAACTCAATTAAAAAATCACATTTATAAATTATTTGTACAAGTGAGAGAGTGACTAAGATGAAAAGTAATAGATTAAATGCAAATCTCAAAGATTTAATGCATAGAAATCTAACACCAACAAGTTAATTCAAAGAGTTTTAACCTTACATCTGACGCTTTACAAGAAATAGAAATTTTGTTATGTTTAAATGAGAAATTTTAGAATTCTAAAAAATATGAAAGATAGCAAGGGATGCTTGGAATGCAAGTTAAGTATAAAAAGAATTATGAACGATAAATATAAGAAGTATAATAGATAAAATTTTAAATTTTCGTTACAAACATAGCTTTAAACTCCTTAGAAATAATAGTCTATCCATATCTTCCGAGACTCGTAGTTCACCTTAATGAAATCAGAAACCTAATATTAAGGGTTCTACACTGAGTCCAAAAAATATAACACATCGAACGAATAGGCCCAGACCTCATGCAATTCAAGTTTCAAATGATTTAGTTATTTCCTTTAGAATATTGGTCACAATCATTGCATTACGTATGGAATTTGATCCTTTCAAAATTTAAATTAGGAAAAAGTATCTAAATGAACATTGTGTATCCCTGTGTCTTAGATTCGGAATGACATAAATTTTATCCAATTTTGACAAAGGTCTTGTTTTCAAGCTAGATCATTTTACTCTACTTTAGGCCTAAATTGCTCCCTGATCTAAGTTTAATCTAGTCCAAATTTTCCCACCGTTGTGTAGAGCTTTGTCTCATCTTTCCATAGGTTCCAAAATTACCTCAATATAACAAAAATAACTCAATATGGCCTGCATGAAGAGAAATGGTCAATAAGCACTAAAGTCCAAAAATTAATAAAACTTTGCAACAAAGCCTAACAAGTTTAAGTGAATAAAGTTTAACCAAAACATAAAAATTAAACACTTTTAGCAAAAAAAAATAAAATTAATGCTATAATGTGAGTGAAAGCTTATGAAATCACAACATACATAGTTTATATAACTAGAGGAACACAACTACGTGGGAAAGTGAAGGTGCAAAATCAAAAATCATTTGTTCAAACTAATGTTTTTAGAATTAGATCGGTCATTAAACTAATGTAGTTAAAGTGATAATATATATATATATATAGTAATATCTTAAATTTATATTAATTAATTTTATTACATATTTCATCATAAGTTAATCATTTAAATCATTCCAGTTAAAATTGAGATAACTTAATTGTCATGTTTACTCATCTATGTGTACGACAACTTGAATGATAAAAAAATATTTTAAAACATGAACTTTTTTTTAATTTGTTCTAATAAGTTTTATAACCAAATTTATTTTATAAATTTTTAAATAATAAAAATTTGTTAAATAAATAGTTAATTAAGTTGTTTACTCAAAGCCATAATAACAACACAATGCAGAAAAACTCATGAATAGTGTTTCAAAATTTATTTTGGCATTCCTTCTAGAAAATTTTGGGATCAACTTTGATGAGTTTAATGATAAGTAGATCCTACCATCCTGAGATTTTCCACTTGTATAGTTTAGTCCTTTCATAATCATTGATTAGATGGTGAATCACTGAATCTTGATGCAATGATAATGTTTCTGCCTTATAATTTGGTGGTGATTATAGAATTAGTTGAGAAAAATACTTTCCACTTGCCCATGCATGCAGTATATATAACCACCTTTCCCAAATAATGGAAATTCCGATAATCAAGCCTTGATATCACACTTGCAAGGTGCGATATAACGACGTAACAGAGAACACAATAAACTGACAGACTATTTTAAAAAATACATATATTTGAATAATAGTTTTAAAAATAAATACAAAAATAAAAAGGCATTAAAACAAGATGCCAACAAATTATTTTGATTTATTTCCTATTTTGCTTTCAGCCAAATATCGCAAACGCAAAGCATCGTAGTATATATGAAGTTGAACGTTAATGCAGGGGAAAAAAAAAACTTGATGGACTTTGGCCCGTCTTCATTTTATTTCAAGTTTCTCATAGGAGATATATTCTCAATATTGTTAGAAAAATTCAAACGGGCCTTAATTCTTAGTCTAACGTCAGAATCCACGCCAGAGAGAAATCAATAATATATTCTCAATATTATTGATTTCATCTCCATTTCGATGCTCACTAGCCAACTCGTCTTTGATTTCTCCCCCAATCCATTTCCATATATCTGTAACCCCTCATCAGATTGTTACATTTTCCATTGACACAATACAGAGCATTGGTCATTAATGAAATAACAAAATTTAAATATAATATTATAAGTGTTTTTTATATGATTTTATAATTATAATTATAATTTTATCTTAATAATGTGTACTGACAATTTGTATTAATCTTTATAACATAGATTATTTATGTGAAATTTTGATTTTAATTAAAAAATAATACTAAAAGCACTTGTCATATTATGCCTAAATGTTGTCACCCTAGCGCTCCATTTTTTCTCCGACAGATCCAAACCTTGGCCACCACGAACAACGTTTGCAAACATCAACATCGCCGGAGAATTCCTTTCCTGTGTTTTGTCCCAAAAGCCCAATTCCAAATGTTAATGCCCCAAACTTTAATAGCGCTCTATAACGCATTCATTAACACATGGAGTTACGTGGGCTCAATTGCAGGCCTAATTGAGGGTTCGCTATGGGTCTCCCTAGGAAACTCAATTTTCATAATTGGTGGCCAAGTTTGTCACAGAGAGGTTCAATTGTGTTTACCAATCAATGCTTCAATGGTGCACCACTCGGTCTGGCAAAGGTGTGATTTTGCCTCCACTTTTGTGACAATAAAAGCTGGTAAGTGCTCGTGTGATCCATCTGCTGAGCTGTACCACCCTGATCTTGACACGTGGTCACTTTTGCCTAATTTGCATTCAAATGTGTCCATGGCAAGGAAAATGAATGTATTTTACATACCGTCCAAAATTCATTTATATTTAGAGTGTAAGTATACCAAAAAAAAGTGTAAAATATAAAAATAACAATATATTATATCACATATTGTTTAAAAAAATATGGATAATTGGAAAGGTTTGTAGAAAAAGAGAAGTCAGTTAAGCTCTGCTGATGCGTATGACATGCAAGAGAAAGATAGAATCATTTGGCAATTGAATGTGCCACTTAATCATAATATGACAGTGATGTAAATTTTAGCTTGGGCGTATTGTTTGAATGCATGGAGGGGTATAGTTCAACATATGATAGCAAGCTTTGGAATGAAGTTGATGGATCACATAAACCAATTAAGTATTTCCACGTTGGAGACCCAACTGTGAGCATTGGCCTCCTAACCAACGACTCTACCAAACTATGGCAACAATTGGGACTCCATTATTTTTCTTGGCAGGTTACAGTAGTGTTAGTGATGAATCATGATCAGCTGGAAAGACCAATGTCCCTTGTCCACTTTTGACACAATAGCCATTGCTGTGTTGTGCAACTCTCATGAGCTATAGAATGAAAAACAAAAAATTAAAGTTAGAAAA